TACGATAATAATGATGATGATATTAACAATGGTAATGATAATGATAATGATAATAAGAAAAGTAAGACAACAACAATCATAACGACAATAATAATGAGAATAAAGTAAAACAAAAAATGAAAATGACCATAAAATACTAATACCACCACCGAGCTCATCATACCTCAAGGCAACAGATTCAGCGTAATCTAATTCGAAGATCCTTATGACAACTACAGCATTATCATTCTGTTCAAGATTTCCCTCAAGGCGTTTCATTCTGCGAAACGCGATCGGAGCTTGAGTCTCGTAGGCGTTTCTGAGTGGAGGGGGGGGGGGGGGGTTGTAGTTGCGTGTGTTCCCCCTGATGTGTTTGTCTGTACTGTAAGTTTGTCTGTTTTGTTATTTGCTTTTGTCTGTTTGTGTCTGTTGGGTGGGTGATTCTGTTGGTTTGTTTGTCTTTGTTTGCGTATGTATCTGCCTGCCTGTCTGTCTGTCTGTATGTATGTATGCATTTATCTTTCCGTCTCTTGTCTGTCTGTCTGTCTGTCTGTCTGTATGTATCTACCCTCCGTCTCCTGTCTGTCTGTCTGTATGTATGTATGCATGTATTTATCTTTCCGTCTCCTGCCTGTCTGTCTGTATGTATCTTTCTGTCTACCTGTCTGTCTGTATGCATGTATGCATTTCTCTCTCTCTCTCTCTCTCTCTCTCTCTCTTTTTTCTTCTCCCATCTCTCTCTCTCTCTCTCATCTCTCTCTTTCTCTCTCTCTCTCTCTCTCTCTCTCTATCTTTTTCTTCTCCCATCTCTCTCATCTCTCTCTCTCTTTCTTACCCCCTCCTCTCCCAAAAGCCTACCCTGTATACATCACCTGGTCAGTGAGATAAGAAATTTGGCTTAATCGAAACAGCGCTCAGGTGTGCCAGGCGGCCAGATCGGTGAGTTAGCGGTAAAGGCATTGGATACCAGAAAACTAATATCACGGTAATGCTAATAATATCAGTGCTTTTCACCAATGCTACTATAATTTCCTGTTGCTGCTACTAGTCTTTCTGTTTGGCGCGTAAATATGGTACTAATGTTACTGCTAATAATAGCATTACTTGTCGTAAAGTGCTGTATCATTATTGCTGCTAATACTATTACTACAAAACAGAAGTTGTTATTATCGTCATTATTAGTATCGTTATCATGTTATTAGTACCTATTATTGACAGTTATCGTCAACATTGCTTATACTAATGCTATTGTTATTATTGTTGCTATTACTACTCTTTCTGTTTACCGCGTAGATATGATAGTAATAGGACTACTACTAATAGCAGTAGTTGTCGTTGCGTTTCACAAATACGTGAGGCTCTGTATTAATATTTAAAAGACGTTCTTCTAAAACTCCTGGCATTAAAAGTACAAAACTGCTGTTTCTAAAATGCTCAAAATTTTCAATAAAATGAAAGCAAAAATCTAGTTCAAGTAGAAAAGAAAAGAAATCTTGTATCTAATTGAATACCTTTAATCAATACACTAATAGAATGAAATCAGAAAACTGCTAGCTAAAAATATGACAAAGCCGTACATTCAATCATTGTAATTGAATCTTATAGTGGTTCAAAAAAAGTTGTGAGCACGAGTCGGCAGCAAGAGTCACGGCAGTTAAATGACCTCAGATTAATAGTTGTTCGCCAAGTGATGTCCCTTTTATGCAGTTGATATAGATTATTCTAGTCATCAGTGGAGTAGCGCCGCGCGCGCGTACGCACACACACACACACACACACACACACACACACATACACACATATATAATATATATATATGTATATATATACATACATATCCTTATATATACGCATTCATGTATATATATATATATATATATATATATATATATATATATATATACACGCGCACACACACATATACATACATATATATACATATATATACATATATATATATGTATAAATATGTATATATATATATACATATATATATATATATATATATATATATATATATATATATATACACACACACACGAAGATATATATTGGTGCGTGCTCTTTCTATCTCTTAATTTACTCTGCGACATTTTGATACTTCGGCGAATCCCGACTCTCCGGCAGCGACGATTTTCTCATTTCCGAGACGCATTAATGTGAAAAGAGTGAACAAAGCGCATTAGAATGACGCATGACGTGGATGGCAATTTTCAGCCCGCCAGTGTGCCTATCGACTAAAATGAATGCAAAGTATACTAGGAGACTTGTCTCAGAACGAAAATATAGAAGCGAGGGAACGCCGCGCTGCCAGACGAACGACGCAACCCGAAAACCACCTCCACGATTATCAAAAACCATCGCATAGTCATCGAATTATGATAGATAGAAGGAACCTTAACGAATGAAAGACTAAAGTCCAGGGGGAATGAGGGAGCTAAAAATATGTGCGGTACGACAAGCTGAGCATCTGGCAGACTCCAGGGCGATCAATGATGAAGGTTTCACTTGTGCGTGAGTT